GCTTCCGGCTGGGTCTGGGGGACACCTAAGGCCCTGGTGACCCCGGTAGTCCAGATTTCCTTTTTCTTTTTCTCTTGAGACTGGGTTTGTTTTTCTTGAGCCAGGGTAACCCAGGCTGGTCTCGAACCCCCTGTGAAGCAGAGGATGACTTTGAACTGCTGCTCCTTCTGCCTCCGTGGGATGACAGGAATGCTTCCTCCCTTAAAGCAATGCTGGGGCTGGAACACCGCCCCTCGTGCATGCTAAGCAAGTACTCAGTGCCGTTCTCAGCCCTGGGCTTCTCTTCTACTTTCAGCAGTCCTCCTGCCTCAGCTTCCCTAGTGCTGGAATGACAGGTGTGAGCTACCAGGCAAAGGTAGAGATTTTTCCTTACGGAAATCGAGGGATGTGTCTCAGAGTTCAGCTGTCTAAGTGGGGCTTGGACCTGATTAATAAGGGCACCCATTTTTCTTTTCCTTAAGACCGGTCTCACTACCCTAAGCTGGCTTTGAACTTTATACATAGCCAAGAATGATCTGAAATTCTGATCCTACCGTCTCTTCCGCCTATGGCTCAGGTGTGGACCACCACTCCTGGTTTATTGGATGGAAATTGATTGCAGACATTTGTACAAAAGCACATGCTATCATGGACCTACCCCTGGCACTTTTTTCTTTATCAAATGTGAGGTGTGTTGCACCAGACAGCGGAGAGATCCCTTAGCTCAATGAAGTAATCTGGACTATCTCAAGCAGTGGTTCTCCACCTTTCTAACGCTGCAACCCTTTAATACAGTACCTCATGTTGTGGTGACCCCAACCATAAAGTTATTTTCATTGCTACTTCATAACTACTTTTGCTACTGTTATGAATCATAATGTAAATATCTGTGTTTTCCAATGGTCTTAGGTGAGCCCTGTGAAAAGGGTCGTTTGACACTCCGGAGGGGTCGTGACCCATAGGTTGAAAAACCATTGATCTAGAATAATACTAGGAAAATATTATGAAAGCTGGGAATGTGGCTCAGTGGCAGAATTCTTGCCTGACATGCTCAGGGCCTAGGGTTCCATCCTCAGCACGCTGGGGGTGGGAGGAGGGAAGCTCACCATGTTACACCTGTTAGGTCATTATCAGCTACATAATGAGCTTGAGGCCAGCCTGGGCTATATGTGTCCTTGTCTCCAAAAAACAGTCCCAGTGAAATGGCTCAATGTCAGTGCTTGTAGCCAAGCCCGACAACTTGAATGTAATCCCTGGATTCTACATGTGGGAAGGAGAGAACTGACTCCTAAAGGTTGTTTTCTGGCTCACACAAATTACATATATATATATATATATATATAGCGCATTCAGAAGGCTGAAGTTGGTGGACCTGAATTCAAGGCTATCCTGGTCTACATAGGGACTACATGGTGAAACCTTGTCTCTGAAAACAGAGAAAGAAAAGAGAGCAACAGAATATAATAAAGCTTTGATGGTCAAACCATTGTAAATCTACCATATTTGTACCCAGAGCTGGAAAAGGTCGTTTTCTCTCTTAACGTTGCTTGTTTATTTAAAAGGCAGAACTTAGTGATCAGAAGGCTGAGATAGAAGGGTCATGAGTTCTGGGCTATCTGGAGATGTGGCCCAGTTGATAGGACGCTTGCCTGCCATTTGGAAAACCCACGTGTCCCTCCCAGCACCTCATTAACTGGACGTGGTGATACCTGTGATTCTGGAGCTAGGGAGGCAGAGGCTGAAGGTTCAGGAGTTCCGAGCTAGCCTGGGCTTCATGAGACCCTGTCTGTAAATAAGTAGATTCCAAATAGGCACAGTGGTTTTTGTTTTTTAATTTACATCTATGGATGTATGCAGTGCCCTCAGAGGTGAGGAAAGGCAATTAGAATCCCTGAAACTGGAGGTGATAGATGATTGTGAGCTGCCAGATGGGTGCTGGGAATTGAATCTGGGTCCTCTGGAAGAGCAGCTGGCACTCCAAACCACTGAGCCATCTCTCTAGCCACAAGGGAATGATGTTTTAATGAAGTGTCCAAGGGCCTTTTCAAAATTGCTTAAGAACTGCCCACACAAGCTTCCCAGTCATCGCCCCAGACCACCAGTTGCTGCTTGATGGGGGCAAGAGTAGGCCATCTGGGACAGCAGCACAGAGTAGGCCATCTGGAACAGCAGCACAGAGTAGGCCATCTGGGACAGTAGCACAGAGTAGGCCATCTGGGACAGCAGCACAGAGTAGGCCATCTGGGACAGCAGCACAGAGTAGGCCATCTGGGACAGTAGCACAGAGTAGGCCATCTGGGACAGCAGCACAGAGTAGGCCATCTGGGACAGCAGCACAGAGTAGGCCATCTGGGACAGCAGCACAAAGTAGAACATCTGGAACAGTAGCACACTGTGGGGCAGCCAGTCTGCCCCGCACAACAGAGACCCTTAAGACCGCAGCACCGACCTCATTTGGTGTGACAGAAATGAGTGTACCTGGGTTGATCACTGCGCACTTGCCAGCCTCTGCAAATGCTGTGCGTCAGAGCTGGCTAGACAGAAGCCACAGCTCACGCTGTGGTTCCCTCTGCTGTGTGGAGTGGACAGTGGAGGAGCTGTTCTGTTAGCTTTTTAGTTTAAAGCTTTTTACATTTCTTTATGGGGGGGGTCTTGCATCTGCCATACCACCTTTGTGGGGGTCAGGGACCAACTTCTAGGAGTCTCTTCTACCACGTGGGTCCCAGGGATTGAACTCAGGTGGTCAGTCCCATCAGCAAGCACCTTTACCCACTGAGCCATCTTGCTGGCTCCTTTTTTGTTTCTGTTTTTGGGGTGTTTGTTTTATTTTGTTTTCGAGACAGGGTTTCTCTGTGCTTGCTTTGTAGACCAGGCTGGCCTGGAACTCACAGAGATCTGCCTACCTCTGCCTCCCAAGGCTGGTATTAAAGGCGTGCGCCAACACCGACCAGCTTTTTCTTTTTTCTTTCTTTCTTTCTTTCTTCTTCTTCTTCTTTTTTTTTTTTGAGATTTATTTTATTTTCTGTGTGTGTTGTCTGTGTGTATTCCTGGGTACTGTGTGCGTGCAGTACATGAAGAAGCTAGGAGAGGGCATTGTGTCCCTTGGAATTACAGTTCCAGGAGGTTGTAAGCCACTGTGTGAATACTAGAAGTCAAACTCACATCTTCTGCAACAGCAAGTGCTCTTAACCACTGAGTCATTTCTCTAGCACATTCTTTTTTAACTTATTAGAAGTGTCTCATTTAGCCCAGGCTAGCATGGAACTTGTTATGCAGTTGAGGATAGCTTTGAACTTTTGAACAGGGTGTTGGTGGTGAACTTTTTTTTTTTTTTTTGGTTTTTTGAGACAGGGTTTCTCTGTGGCTTTGGAGGCTTGCCTGGCACTAGCTGTTGTAGACCAGGCTGGTCTTGAACTAACAGAGACCCACCTGCCTCTGCCTCCCGAGTGCTGGGATTAAAGGTGTGCGCCACCAACGCCCGGCGGTGGTGAACTTTTGAACCTCCTGCTTCTACCCCCAACATACCTGGGATGCAGATTTCTGCTACCATACCTGGATGGTTTTTTTTTTTTTTTTAATTTTTAATGTGTGTTGGTGTTTTCCCTGCCTGTATGTCTGTGTGAGGGTGTCAAATGTCTGGAACTGGAGTTACAGACAGTTGTGAGCTGCCATGTAAGTGTTGGGAATTGAACCTGGGTCTTCTGGAAGAACACTCAGTGCTCTCAACCACTGAGCCGTCTCTCCAGCCTGTGATTATTTATTTTGTCGGTGTGTGTGCCATGCATACAAGTCCCACAGTGCATATGGGCATCACTTCTCTTCCTCCACCATCCTGGTTCTAGGGATTAAACTAAGGCTCACTAGCTTTGCTGTGAGTGCCTTTACATGCTGCGCCATCTTGCTGGCTTCTTATTTCTTTGTTTTTGAGGCAGTGTGTGTATGTGGTAGAGGCGGTCCTGGACCGGGGGTGGGGGTGTGGGGGTGTGTGTGTGATCCTCCTGGCATGGCCTCCCTGAGTTGGCATTACAGGTAACATGGCCTCACCCTGCCAGAATTTGCAGGGTTGCCCTTTCCTTTGGGTAATGTGAGGACAACCATATCAATATTTGCCTTTTCCTAAAACAGGGTTGAAAAATACAGACCAATAAAGCTGGATGAAATAGTCGGCAATGAAGACACAGTGAGCAGGCTAGAGGTAAGGGGTTCTGGAAACCCCGCTGACATCATGCTGTGGGTCTGCCAAGCCAGTGGTAATGGGAGAAAGATGCAGAGATGTGGAAGGGGGGTGACTTGACTGTTCCTCATGGGTATCACAAAGTACCTGATGATCTCAACTTAAACCAAGAGGTAATTTGGCGTTAGCTCATAGTCTGAGGTCACAGTTCATCCTGGCGGGGAAGGCGTGGCTGCAGGAATCTGAGACAGCTGGTCACTTAGCCCGCTTTCTCCTTTTCACTGAGTCTAGGACCCCAGCCATGGGAGAATGCCACCCACGTTTAGGGTGGGTCTTCCTACCTCAGTGGAGGGCAGAGTTGGTTCCCTCCCACCACCCTGTGGGGCCTGGTAATGGATGACAAACTCAGCTTGTTAGCCTTTGCAAGTGCCTTTATCTGCTGAGCCAGCTTGCCAGCCCCCTTTTTTGTTGTTGATTTTGGGGTTTTGTTTGTTTGTTTGTTTGTTTGTTTGAACATATTACTCACTATGTTTCACTGGTTGTCCTGAAACTTTCTATGCAGACCAGGATGGCTTCTAATTCACAGAGATCTGCCTGCCTCTGTATCTTAAGTGCTGGGATTCAACAAGTGTGCCACCACACCTAGGCTATTTATTTGTCTTCCAGACAGGGTTTTGATCTATAGCCTGGGCTGGCCTTGAGTTCCTGATCCTCCTCCCTTGACCTCCCTGTTGCTGAGATTAAAGGCATGTACTATACTTAATGAATTTCTTGTACGCAGGTCTTTGCAAAAGAAGGCAATGTGCCTAATATCATCATCGCTGTGAGTACTTGGGTCTGATCCTCTGGGTGTCTTGCATCCCATGTCCACTCCTTTCCCGGGGAGGCCCACAGGTCCCTCCTGGGTTGTTGGGGAATCAGGAACAAGTGCCAACAGTGGGGAGTTGTGGGAGCATCAAGATCTACTTGGGAATCCTTTATAATTAGCTAATTAATTATGTGTATGGGTGTTTTGCCTGCATCTGTGCTTGTATACTACGTGCATGTCTGTTGCCCTGGGAGTGGGGGGTAGTGGTGATGCACCCCTTGGAACTGGAGTTACAGTTTGGGGCATTGGGAATGGAACTCAGGTCCTCTGGATGTGAAGCCAGTGCTGAGCCATCATCTCCCCAGACCCTGGGTCCTTCCTGTATGAAACAGTTAGGAGAGCTCTTACCCACAGGGTCCCCCAGGAACTGGCAAGACTACCAGCATCCTCTGCTTAGCAAGAGCGCTGCTGGGCCCGGCCCTGAAGGATGCAGTTCTGGAGCTCAATGCATCAAATGACAGGTACAGTGGGGAGGGAAGGCAGAGGCCTCCTGCTGTGCTTGAGTGTAGAAGCTCTACTTGGTTCCAGTGTGTACCTGGTGCTTGTTCACTGGCTCCACATTTAACGGGGGAGTCACTGCCTTGTCGGAGTGTCAGAGGAGCATCTTCAGGGTTCCTTATTTTGATGAAAATGTGTTTTACTCTTGTTAAAATTTGTTTTTATTGCTGCTTAGTTATTGTGGGGAGGGGCATATGCCATGATGTACACATGGAGGTCAGAGGACAGCTTCTTGGGAGTTGTTCTCTCCTACCAAGTGGGTCCTAAGGATCAAACTCAGGTTTTGAGAGTTGGCAGTAAGAGCCACCCCCCCACCCCAACCCTGTTGTCTCTGTATGTGTGTGTGCGCGTGTGCTCACATCATGGTGCATGTGTGAAGATCAGAATATAATCGTGTGGAATTCATTGTTTGTTGTTTGTTTTCTTCTACCTTTATGTGGGTTCTGGGGATTGAACTCAGGTTGTCAGTCTTGCATGGTCTGCCAGCAGGTACCTTTACCCCACTGTGCCATCTCACCATCCCTGAAAAAACTTTTTAAGTGTCCACTTCAGTCATATTCCTATTATTGTGCAACAACTTTCTGACCTTGCAAAACTGAAACTGCCCTCAAGCACCTCCCCATTTCCCCTCTGCAGCCCAGCAGCCACAGCCCACCTTCTGGTCTGTGTATTTGACTGTCAGCTAATGTTCTCAGGTTAAACCACAGTCCTGCAACCCTCCAGGCTATAGGGATGACTTAGGAGCCCCTTGTGAGCTAGGAATGGTGTGTAGGAAATGCCAGCACTAGGAAGTCTAAGGTTGAGTTCCAAGTCTGCCCAGGTGCCATATAAAGACCCTCTCTCAAAAAATAAAATATGGGGCTGGAGAGATTGCTCATCAGTTAAGAACGTGTGGTGTGTGCTGGAGAGATGGCTCAGCCGTTAAAGGCTAGGCTCACAATCAAACATGTTAGAGTTGGTTCCCACCAACCACAGCTGTCTTTCCAGTCACCAGAAGAAAAACAAAAAGAACATGTGATGTGTGCCTTTAATCCTAGTACTTGGGAGGCAAAGGCAGGCGAATCTCTGAGTTTGAGGCCAGCCTGGTCTACAGAGCAAGTTCCAGGACAGTCAGGGCTACACAGAGAGATCCTGTCTTGAAAAACAGAAAAAGAACATGCTGCTCTTGCAGAGGCCCAGAAATCCTTTCCTTACCCCTTCATCAGGCAGCTCACAGCTGCTCAGACCTCTAGCTCCATGCATTCACGCAAGCATATTAAAAAAGTAAAATAGGACCACCCCTGCTGTGCCAGCCTGAGAGCCCTGGTTCTGCTCATATAACTCAAAGTGAAAGCAAAAACTGGGTCTTTAAAGTTGTCTTCTGGTGTGTGTGTGTGTGTGTGTATGTGTGTGTGTGTGTGTGTGTGTGCGCGCGCGCGCGCGCGCCCACACCCACACACACACACACACACATACACACACATACACACCCACGGGGAGAGAGAGGAGAGAGAGAGTGAGAGAGAGAGAGAGAGAGAGAGAGCGCACCTCTCCCATGATAATAAAAATTTCCTGCCTTCCTGTTTCAGGGGGATCGATGTGGTGAGGAATAAAATCAAAATGTTTGCTCAGCAGAAAGTCACCCTTCCCAAGGGCCGACATAAGATCATCATTCTGGATGAAGCAGACAGGTGGGGACTGGAGATGGGTGTCCCCAAGTAGCCCAGGTTGGCTTCAGACTTCCAGCCCTTCTGCTTCTGCCTCCAGAACAGAAGGGATGGTGGGGCCATTCCCCAAGACCCAGTACCAACCACCCTCTTATGCTTGCCTCAGCATGACAGATGGTGCTCAGCAGGCCCTCAGGAGAACCATGGAAATCTACTCCAAGACGACCCGCTTTGCTCTGGCTTGTAATGCTTCAGACAAAATCATAGGTGAGCATGCAACCTGGGCAGCTGTATCCAATGAGGCTTCCGTTTATTTTATGTATATGAGTGCTCTATCTGCATGTATGAGTATAGGCCAGAAGAGGGCATTGGATCTTACAATGTGGGTGCTGGGAATTGAACTCAGGACCTCTGGAAGAGCAGCCAGTCCTCTTAACCTCTGAGCCATCTCTCCAGCCCGAGGCTTCCGTGTTATTTATTTACTTTTTTCATTTGTTTTTGTTTTTGATTATGTTTGTCTGTCTGTCTGAGTATATGTGCCCTGGAGTTGGGGTTACAGGCAGTTGTGAGCAACCTGATATGGGTGCTAGGAACCAAACTTGGGTTCTCTAGAAGAGTAGCAAGTACTTTTAATCGGAGTCATTTCTCCAGTGTGTGTGTGTGTGTGTGTGTGTGTGTCTGTGTGTGTGTGTGTGTCTGTGTGTGTGTGTGTGTGTGTGTGTGTCTGTCTCTGGCTGTGTTTGTGTCTGTGTCTGTGTCTGTGTCTGTGTGTGTGTCTGTCTCTGGCTGTGTTTGTGTCTGTGTCTGTGTCTGTGTCTGTGTGTGTGTCTGTCTCTGTGTGTGTGTCTGTCTGTGTCTGTGTCTGTGTCTGTGTGTGTGTCTGTCTCTGGCTGTGTTTGTGTCTGTGTCTGTGTCTGTGGGTCTGGTGGTGTGTCTGTGTCTGGGTCTGTGTCTGTGTCTGTGTCTGGGTCTGTGTCTGTGTCTGTGTCTGGGTCTGTGTCTGTGTCTGTGTCTGGGTCTGTGTCTGTGTCTGTGTCTGGGTCTGTGTCTGTGTCTGTGTCTGGGTCTGTGTCTGTGTCTGTGTCTGGGTCTGTGTCTGTGTCTGTGTCTGGGTCTGTGTCTGTGTCTGTGTCTGGGTCTGTGTCTGTGTCTGTGTCTGGGTCTGTGTCTGTGTCTGTGTCTGGGTCTGTGTCTGTGTCTGTGTCTGGGTCTGTGTCTGTGTCTGTGTCTGGGTCTGTGTCTGTGTCTGTGTCTGTGTCTGTGTGTGTGTCTGTGTCTGTGTCTGTGTCTGTGTCTGTGTCTGTGTCTGTGCACTCCCAGGCTGACCTTGACCTCACTTTATAGCCCAGGGATGCCTTGAACCTACAGGGTCCTAAGTTCTTCCTGCTTCAGCATCCTGAGTTGTTGGAATGACAGGCCTGAGCCACCCAGCGTGTCTTGAACATACTCTAGTTGTTTTGTGTGCTGCTGCCCGGTATGGCCAGGTCTCCTTCTCTCCACAATGTCTCCTTATGGGGCCCTTTGGCCTTCAGCCAGCTGCTGCCCACAGCACTGGTCCACCCTGTCAGGCTGGTGTCACACCTCCCTCTTGCCTACTCACCTACCGCGTGAGTCACCCTGTGCCACCCTGTCTCTGTTTCACTTCTGTCCCGCTTCCCCGCCTCTGTACCTCGTGCGTGCGTGCGTGCGTGCGTGCGTGCGTGCGTGCGTGTGTAAAATCATACATAGGTTTGTTACACATGCCTTTTCTCTACCAGCTCATGACTCCCTAGACGGGCAAATTACTTAATGTTGACAGGGATACCCCCCCCCCATTTATTTTAAAATTACATTTTGTGTGTGCATGCACACGTGTGCATGTTGGGGGCCATGTGTCTGCATGTAGATGTCAGAGAATGATTTGTAGAAGTCAGTTATTATATATGTGGGTCCCAGATTTGAACTCATGTTGTTAGTCTTGGTGGCAATCCTCTTCATCCACTGAGCCATCTTGCTAGCCCCCTGTCCTTTTTATTCTTGGTGTTGGTAGTGTTTGCTGTGTTTTTGAGCCAGAGTCTCAGGTAGGTAGCGCAGGCTAGCCTTGAACTGACCTTGTAGCTGAGGTTGACCTTAACTCATGATCTTCCTGTCCCTACAGGAGCTATGTAATCCCAAGTGTTGGGGTTTCAGGCAGGCACCTCCTTGCCTTGTTCCCCTGTGGAGCATCAGAGAGCTTGTTGAGGTTCCATTCCCTCCCAGCCTGACTGAACTGAACTTCCCCGAAGGGCCCACCCATTGCAGACTCCAGAGGCCCTAACTCCTCTTCCGGCTGGGTGCATGGGACTTTTATGTGTGGCAGTGTCTGTCCTGAGGCTCCTTTTCCCTCCAGAAGCTGGACCTGACCTACGTGTTCTGGATGTTGCTAACTCAGGCCTCTTTGCTTTTTTATTTGTTTGTTTGTTTGCAGTTAAAGGCAGGCACTCATGGGTGTAAGGAAACACAGACATGCGTCTTTTTCATGGGTGTGAAAAAGACCCTCTGCAGAGCATGGGGCGGGACTGGGAAAGCAGAAAATCCAGCCTCTTTATGTCTCATCTGGTGGTTTGACACTTGGCTCTAATCAGCTGTGTTCTGGTCAGCAGTCAGCCTTGCCAGGGAGCCCTCACTCTGCTGTCTCTGTCCAGAGCCCATCCAGTCACGCTGTGCAGTGCTCCGCTACACCAAGCTCACCGATGCTCAAGTCCTCACCAGGCTCATGAATGTCATCGAGAAGGAAAAAGTACCATACACAGATGATGGCCTGGAAGCCATTATCTTCACAGCCCAAGGGGACATGCGCCAGGTTAGTGGGTGACTGTCACTGCCTGTCTTAGTTAGGGTTTCTATTGTTGTGATGAAACACCGTGACTAAAAAACAAGCTTGGGAGGAAAGAGTTTATTTGACTTATACTTCCATATTGCTGTTTATCACTAAAGAAGGCAGGACAGAACTCAAACAGGGCAGGGACCTGGAGGCAGGAGCTTATGTAGAGGCCATGGAGGAATGCTGCTTACTGGCTTTTTTTCCCAGCTCTCTTTAAAAAAATTTTTTAAAAAAATCCTAGCCCAGGGCTGGGCCCACTCACAGTGGGCTGGGCCTCCTCCATCAATCACTAATTAAGAAAATGCTATACAGCCAGGCAGTGGTGGCACATGCCTTTAAAACCAGCACTTGGGAGGCAGAGGCAGGCAGATCTCTGTGAGCTGGAGACCAGCCTGGTCTAAAAAAGCTAGTTCCAGGACAGCCTCCAAAGTCACATAGAAACCCTGTCTCGAACCCCTCTCCCCCCCAAAAAAGAAAGAAACTGCCGTACAGCAGGATCTTATGGAGGACCTCATTTGAAGCTCCCTCCTTCAGATAAGTCGAGTTTGTCAAGTTGACATTAAGACTAGCCAGCACACTGCCCCTACAAGTTGAGGTTGGGGAATGAATGTTGTACCTTGTCTGGCTAAAATAAAGACTGAGGCCCTAGCACTCTGCAGGGATGTGCGCTGCTGGATGGTGGGCTTTGGGTCTCTGAGAGGCATGAAGGGAAAGACACCATAGTCACCCTTGATATATCTCTTGCCTCCCTCCAGGCACTGAACAACTTGCAGTCTACCTTCTCAGGATTTGGCTATATCAACAGTGAGAATGTGTTCAAGGTACTGGGGCCGGGAGAGGGCTGGTCTGCAACAGAGTGACCTACACAGCCATTGTTCCTACCACAGCTTTGTCTCATATCCAAGCGAGAGGGTCTTGTGGGGGTTCCACATGCGAGTAGTGTGAGAGGCAGATTTGGGCTAGCCTGCAGCTATCTACTTCATTCCTCATCGCCTCCTTGCAGAGCTGTTCTTATCCCCACCTGTGCTGTGGGTCAGGCTCCCTTAGCCATCACTCCAACTCTTCCCACCCCTCCCCTCCTGTCTTTTTCCTTCTTCCTCTACTCTTCCCTCCCTTTTTTTTCTTTTTTTCTTTTTTTTTTTTTTCCGTTTTTCAGAGACAGGGTTTCTCTGTGTAGCTTTGGAGGCTATCCTGACACTTGCTCTGGAGACCAGGCTGGCATCAAACTCATAGAGATCTGCCTGCCTCTGTCTCCCAAGTGCTGGGATTAAACCTCCCTCCCCTCTTCTTGACTGAGTCAAGAATATGTACCCAGGCTGGCATTGAACCTTACCTCCACCACCGAGAGAGAGAGAGAGAGAGAGGAGAGAGAGAGAGAGAGAGAGAGAGAGAGAGAGAGAGAGAGAGAGGGAGCAAGAAACAAAAAGAGTGCAGCTTGTCTGTAGACAGAACAGTGAGGATGGAAACACAAGCTTGTTCCACACTCCCTGACTTTATTTTAGCGACAGGTCTTAATCTGTAGCCCAGACTGGCCTTGAATTTGAGATTCTCCGGAGTTACTTGGGGTTTTGCTTTTTGTTTTTGTTTTTTGGTTTTTTTTTTGAGTTTGTGCCACCACTGTTGGGCTCTTCCTGAGTTTGAGGACACAGGCATGTGCCACTATGCCATCATCATGCCTTTAATGCCACCCACAAAGAGTTTTTTTGGACCTTTGGCTGCTTTGTGGTTCATTCATTTTGGATATAAGAAATTAACCAGGGCATCAGGAGCTGTCATATTTGGGGATGTCTTTGGAAGTGAGAAGGGTGTTCCCTAATCTCATTCCAGTTGTTGGAGACAGTGGAAATTAGTGTGTGGGCCTCATGGTGTGTCTCCTGATTGTTTGCTCAGGTCTGTGATGAGCCCCACCCACTGCTTGTGAAGGAGATGATCCAGCACTGTGTGGATGCCAACATCGATGAGGCCTATAAGGTGGGCCTCTTGTTCCCTCTCCTGATTTCCATGGTGCATTGCCACTTTTGACTCAAGTAGCAGGAGCCCAAGGTGGCACCAGGACTGCATCACTTCCCTTGGCCCTTAAAGTCACTCTCAGCTTCGGGTGTGCTTTTCTTACTTTGCTCATCACTCAGAACCTGACAAAAGCACTCAGCAGAGGCAGGCTTTATTCAGACTCAGTTGGAGTGGGTACACCCCTCGTGGCGGGAAGGCATGACAGCCTGTGGTGGTGGGAGCACGTGGCTGAGATGCTTTACATCTTTTTTTTTTTTAATATGCACTGATGTTTTGCCTGAATGTGTGTCTGGTTCCCCTTGGAGTCCAGAAGATGGCATCAGGTCCCCAAGATTGGAGTTACAATTGTGAGCTGCTATGTGGTTTCTGGGAATGGAACCCACATCCCCTTGAAGAGCAGCCAGTGCTCTTAACCACTGCCATCTCTCCAGCCCCCATGAGCTGCCTCACATTCAGACCTACTGCCAAGCTATCAAGACTCCACCTTCTAAATCCACAACCTCCGAGAACAGCCCCACCAGCCATGAAACTGATCCACAGAGGTGAAGCCTTGTCCTAAGACATACTACAAGTGGTAGACCTGGGAGCCAGCTTCATGTGTCTAGTATGGCCGTAGGGCATGGTTCCCTGAGCAGATGCCAGTGTGTATGATGACTTCAAATATGTAGATTCAGAGGTGTGATTGCAGACTCTTTAATCCGTTTCTCGTCTGCAGCTGGAAGCTGACTAGGGGCAGGGCAGGGTTGGGCTCAACAAGAAACTGGAGTGCCAAGCAGGGAAACAGGTACAGCTAGAGGCTGTTTCCTGAAAGAAGAAGAAAACTAATCTGAACCCCTTACTCTAAACCCCAACACTACCCAGAGTCCACCCCCAGGTGCCAAGGCTCAATGGACTGTCTCTAGACACAGGCCTGGACTGGGGAAAGTGGACAGAGACTAAGGACATTGTGCTCTGCTTAGGTTGTCTGGTCCCATCATGCAGGGGCCTTTCTTACTGGTTCTAGATAAAAACCTGATGTAGACAAAGATAGTAGACCACTTGCCTGTACTTGAGAACATATGGTGTCTGCTGGGAAAATGAGCTGAATTACCTGCCATGACGGAGGGCTGGTTGACATCCGTGGGGCCCACCAGCACCTCCGTAAGGTCCAGGTGATCCATCTCAAAGCCTCGTGGATCACCTGACCAAGCTGTACCCTGGTGTGACAGGCTAGGGCCACTATGGATCCAGCTTCATCTCCCTTTCCTGTCCATGCTGTTGAGAGTATGTTGGGTCTTCTCGTCTAGATTCTTGCTCACCTATGGCACCTGGGCTACTCACCAGAAGATATCATCAGCAACATTTTCCGAGTGTGTAAAACCTTCCCTATGGCCGAATACTTGAAACTGGAGTTCATCAAGGTTAGTCAGAGCTCAGGATTACCTTGTGCACTTTTGAGTCTGGTGGCTTCTTGCTTTGTTTTTAGACAGGGCCTTATAGTGTAGCACAAGCTGGGATTACAGGCTTGTGCCACCACACTGCTTTGCATTGGCTTCTTCACTATGCATGGTACTTTCCAGATCTGTTGTGACATGTGTCTGTGGCCTGGCCCTTATCACTGAGCAGTATTCTGCTGTGTGGCTGTGTCATGGTCACTTGTTCTCTAGGAAGGGCATTTGGGTTTCTGTGGCTAAAAAGTCACTGCACACTAGCACACATGAAACAGCATGGCTGCTAACCAAGTTCTTGTTCTACATGGGTGGGTTCCCAGGTATGAGACCACCGACTCAGACAAGTGTATGTTTAACTGTATAAGAATTTGAGGCCAGGTGGTGGTGGTGCACGCCTTTGATCCCAGTATACAGACTCTGTGAGTTTGAGGCCAGCCTGGTCTACAAGAGCTAGTTCCAGGACAACCTCCAAAGCCATAGAGAAACCCTGTCTCAGAAAAGAATTTGACTGTGGCTGGATAGTGATGGTACACGCCTTTAATCCCAGCACTGGGGAGGTAGAGGCAGACGGATCTGTAAGTTCAAGGCCAGCCTGGTCTTACAAGGTGAGTTCCAGGACAGCCAGGGCTGTTACATGGAGAAACCCTGTCTTGAAAAAAACAGGGTTGACTCATTTGGAATCATGCCTCAAGTGTGCAAAGCCCTGGGTTGACCCTTAGCACTGTGTAAGATGGGGTGCTGCTAGGTATGTGGTGTACATCTTCAGTGCTACAGTGAGACTTTGTTTTAAAACAACAGCAGCAAAAGTAACTGGGTGCCTCTTGCCTGCCTGTAGTTCCACACCCTGGAGGTAGAGGCAGGACACTAAGAAGCTCAGGGCTATCCTCAGCTCCATAGGGAATTTGAAACCAGCTTGAGCTATGTGAGATCCTAGAGACTGTGGCTGTAGCTCAGTGCTGGAAGCTCTGGGTTTACTCCCTAACCCTGAAACACCCTTTTTTACTGCATGAGCTGAACTTGAGTGAAGCCAGGTCCAGCCTCTTAGTATGCTACATTTTGAAGTCATTCTATCTATTTTAAACCAACCCCTAGTTTACATGAAAAGGAGCCAACAATCCCAGCTTCCCCACCCTTTCCTTTCTGCTTGTGTTTCAGGAGATTGGATACACTCACATGAAAGTGGCAGAAGGTGTGAACTCCTTGCTGCAGATGGCTGGGCTCCTGGCCAGGCTGTGTCAGAAGACCATGGCTCCAGTGGCCAGTTGAGATGTTCTCCACTGATGATCCAACTTTCCAGTCGTGGCAAGATGTGCCCAAGACTACATTACTTCTGTTTTGGGAGAACGGGGTCTCTTATAGCCCCAGCTGACTTTGAACTGCTCTGCAACTGTGCCTGACCTTGAACTGATCCTCTTGCTTCTGCCTCCTGAGTGCTGGGGTTACAGTGTACCACCACGCCTGGTTATTCGGTGCTGGGGATGGGATCCAGGGCTTGTGCACGTCAGACAAGCCCTCTGCCAGCTGTGTGGTTGAGCCCCAGAGGGTTGCCCCGTTGCTGCCAGTGCACTTCAGCTCTTCATATCTGAATTCAGCTTCAGGCCCTGGATATGGGGCGTGGTGGGAAGGACCCCAGTCTTCTCAAGTCTTGGGGTTGTAGCTGATAAAGCCTTAAGATGTTTGTCTTGCAGTGCTTAATTTCTTGAGGCCTTGAGGAAAACCAGTATCTTGTTCTGCCTGTTTTATCCTGCTAGTAGAGACAGTGCCCTGTGACCAGTGAGAGTGCAGCCGATGAAGGTGCTGGCGAAGCCCTTGTCCACTTGAGTTCCATCTCCAGAACCCACGAGAAGGTGGAAGAAGAGAACTGACTCCACAAAGATGTTCTCTGGGCAGCCAGGTGTGGTGGTGCACGCCTTTAATCCCAGCACTTGGGAGGCAGAGGCAGGCAGATCTCTAAAGTTCAAGGCTAGCTTGTTCTACATAGTTGAGGACTACATAGAAACTACATAGTCTTGTCTCAAAAAAAAAGAAAAGTGTCCTGGGCCCTGCATACATGCACACACAATAAGTAAAATTAAAGAAATGAAGCCAGGTACAGTAGCACACACCATAATTGTTTTAAATTATTTAATGTGTATGAATGATTTATTTTAAAAGTTGTTTTGTCTTTCTTTTACATGTGTGGGTGTTTTACCTGTGCATGCAGTCCCTGAGAAGACCAGAAGAGGGCATTGGACCCCTTGGAACTGGAGTTGCATATAGTTGTGACTGTCCATGTGGGTGCTGGGAATTGAACCTAGGGCCTCTGCAAGAACAGCCAGAACTGCCTAGCTATCTCCCCAGTCCCACAAACCTATAATGCCAAGCACTTAGGCTAAGTTCAAATTAGCCCTGTTATAGTGAGTCCAGGCCAACCTGGAAAACATAAGACCCTCTGTGTCACTGCCTAACAGTTGGGTTCTAGGTGTTTCTTCTAATATACTAACTTACGGCATTTATCTCCTCTCAGAATACATTTGTGATGGCCTGGAGAAAGGGGCTGGACATGAAGTGCACAGCCTATACCTCTCTGGACCTCGGGGCCCTTTCTACTGAGTAAGAACCTTGGTCTTAAGCCAGGCAGTGGTGGTGCACACCTTTAATCCCAGCATTTAGGAGGCGGAGGTAGACAGATCTCTTTGAGTCTTGAGGCCAGCCTGGCCTACAGAGGGAGTTTCAGGATAGCCAGGGCTACACAAAGAACCTTGATCTTCATTTCTGGCAATGGTCTTTACCAGAGCCTGGCATGGTGGCACAGGCCTATCTATAATCTCAGCACCCAGAATGCTGGGGCAAAGAATTGCCATGAGTTCAGTGCCAACCAGCCTGGGTTACAAAGTGAGACTCAAATGACAAAAGAGTCTTGGCAAGGTGACTCAGCTGGTAAAGGCTCTTGTCACACAAGCCTGTCAGTCAGAGTGTTGTCCCCGGAGTCCTGAAGGTGAAAGACCCCGCTTCACAGAGCTGGCCTCTGACCATGCCTAGGCACTAAAGGGAGGTGGCTTGGTGAGTAGAGTACTTGTTACGCCAGCATGAGGACCAATCTGAGTCTGAATCCAGAGAACTCACATAAAAGCCACCTGTAGTGCTGGAAGCCAAACCAGTGACACTTGTTCAGAAACAAAGGAGAGATGTAGCTCAGCAGTTGAGCGTGCACTAGTCTTCAGAGGACCCTAGTTGGTTCCCAGCACTCCCTTGGGGCAGCTGACAAAGGTCTGTAATTGGAGTTTCAAATGTTCTGATGCCTTCAGCACTCTGCAGGCACCCACACACGTGGAATATACTCAAACACACTTTTTAAACTGAGGCCCGGTGGGGTGATGCATTTACTTCCAGTACCCAGGAAGCAGAATCCAACAGATCTCGTTAAGGCCAGCCTGATTTATATGGCAAGTTCCTGCCCAGCCAGGACTACACAGTATGCTTTTTTTTTTTTTTTTTTTTAAGAAAAGGAAAAAGAATGGAGAGCCAACAGGGAGATGCTCAGCCCTGCAGACACAAAGGTTAAACAAAGACAGATGTGGCGGTGCCTGCTCTGAAACTCACAGGGTTTATTGACGGTTGCTGGGGTCACTTTTGTCTCCCTATCACCGACCCACAAGGTCCCTTCAGGAATGGAAGATCTGAGCAAACTGGAGCCCACTTAGAGAACAAGGAGACCCCAGGTTACCCTACACCCCGCTCATTTGTTAAAGTTAGTATGTGTAATGCTCTCAGAGACAGAAAGTCCCCCTGACATTGACAATATTAAATATGGTTCCAGCAGTTGAAGTCAACTACAAAAACAGTCATGTAACATTCCCAGAAATCAACATTCATAAGCAATTTGAGGTCCAAACAAGGAAAGAAAGATACAAGGTCAGGCATAGTGATACCAGTACTGTGGCCGAAGCTGGAGTGAGACCAGACTGAGCAATTTAATAAGACCCTGTTTCTAAATTTAAGAAAAAAGACAAATTCCAGTGTTAGGCGATATTTTAGATGTGGTACCAGGACACGGCTTGCCTGTCTTTGGGCTTCTCATCACCACAGCCAACGTCCCCAGGCACCTGCTTTGCTCCCAAGAAATCCAGGGCATCGTTTGAAGGTTGCAGCCCTGGCAAGTTTCATTGTCTCCCAGGCTGTCTCAAGGCATTTTGGAACCCCTCCCAGGAGCAGCCACAGCCAGGTCTAAAGCTCAAGCATCCCTGGAAAATAGTCTTCAGCAGGCAGTGAACTTCATGGTCCCCCTCAGGCCCTTCAACAGAGAAGAGTTAGCTATGAGGCAAAGCTTGGGGGCTGGAGAGATGTCTCAGTAAAGTAATTGTTATACAAGTGTGAGGACCTGAATTCAACTTTCAGAACCAACATAAAACAACAGACAGGTACAGTGGTAGTACCTCCCAGCACTCGGGAGGTAGAGGCAGGAGGATCTGTGTGAGTTCAGGGCAAGCCTGATCTACGTATCAAGTCTCAGGCTAGTCAAGGCTACATAGTGAGAACCTGTCTCAACAAAACAAAGGAAAACTAGCCATGTACCTGCAATCCCAGCATTCTACAGGGGAAGGCAGGAGGAAGAAGGGAACAAGACCCAGATTCACTGTCTCTCCTACGTCAGAACTCTAGTGCTGGCTCTAGCTGGCTGACCGCCAACCTTTCCCACGCTGTCTGCTGGAGGTGGTTATCTTACTTCTCCCACCTATTCTGGAGTGCTCTTCCCAGTGAGGAGGCAGACCACCCCAGTCCCCTCACCTCAACCCAAATTACAACCCCCTTCCCCTGTCTGTGCATCACCAAAACTTACCACCAGGGAACATACTACCTACATTTTTGGCCTGGGGACTTTTTGAGACAGGGTCTCACTCTGTAGACCAGGATGGCCTGGAACTCAGAGATCTGCACCAGCTAGGCAGTGGTGGCGCACACCTTTAATCCCAGCACTTGGAAGGTAGAGGTTG